TGGTTAAAAGGAATCCGCCGTCATCTTCTGGTGGAACCAACCTTCGAATCTTTTCACCCAACACTTTCATTCGAAATGGAAGTAAGCTCAACAATTGTGATTGTTTTCTTATAAACAGTTTTTATCCCCCATTCTTCTTAGAAAGAAGACATGACGGCAAAATCAGGACGTAAGAACAGGTCCATCTTTGACTAAATAGTCTCCATCAGAAAATGTATTCCTCAATAAAGGGACAAATTTTAGGATAATTATTTTCTCGGAACAAAGTTATCAGCCGTTCCAACTCTTTCGTCAAATAGTGGTCATCTGTTAGACTCAAACTGCTAACAAGCATTAACTTCAAAATCCCAACCTTTGTTTTATATCTATAGCTGGAAAGAAAATCAAGAAAAGAGCCAACATATGCTGGCTTTCTATAAACATTTTTTTCGTAATTTACCCTCTTCTCTAATGATGCAAACATCGAAAAAGGGTAAAGACCAATTCCATTGGTTATGTGAAAGTAGGAAACTGTCTAAACTTTCCCTACCCTGAGGCCAGATGACAAACTAGTCATTCATACATTTAACTGACAATTTGGGAGTTAGTATTGCCTCCTCCAGACAGTGTTGCTCAAAATATGAATACCAAAATTGTGTGGCCTCTGGGATGGTCGTAGTCTCCTTTCGATGCATAGAATTGGGTTGACCTCGTTGTCGCAACTTGGTCTTGTTGTCTCCGAAGGTCAACCAACTTCTAGTGTTCCTCAAGGTTTGTCATATAATTGTTGACCAATATATAACCTGAGCAAGATCCTCTCGCAAGTCTTTGTGTTTGCTCATATAACTTACCAACAAAAGTAAAATTGTTTCTATGCTATGTCTATCTGTAGCTCATTCCTTGTGTGATCTTTGCATAGTCCTCCACAGTTTGTACTAGAGTATGAATAGCTTCTTGAACATCATCATCAAAACTTATTAGTTTATCTTCTTTTGAAGTTATTTGCTGATTAATTAATTTTACAAACTTATAAGATATTTTAACTGAATATAGCCAAAAGTCAGCTGTTTTCCTTAGATGGGATTCTCTGGAATAGTGAATCCATTGTCCACTTTTCCATTTCGCTATTAATTACGCATACCTAAAGAGCATCCTCCAGCCTAATTTTAACTCTTTCTGCTGCTGGTCTGCCTTTTTTTAATGGAAAAGCATAATTTTTCATATAACTTGGCCTAGCCATGGCTACCACTGCTCTGTTATATCAC